GTTACGAGACATTTCCAGTCTACGACCAGCTGTTGGGATAACACCTGATCCAATAACTCATTTAAACAAAACCTTAGATGGTGATAAAGGTGAATAGTCCCAGAAAATTAACTGAAGTGGAAAAGGAATTGACAATTGTTTAGGAGAAATTACAGGAGGCACATGTAGGTAGGGTGAATCCAAATCTTAACTGTACTCTAGTCATAGTGCCTTCCAGAGTTTCTCCTACAGAAATTTTAATACAGAGGGACAATATTATCTTAGAATGGATCTTTTTACCACATAAACCAAGTAAAAAACTAAAAACTTATGTGGAAAAAGTCTCTGAATTAATTATAAATGGTAAATTGAGACTTCACCAATTAGCAGGTATAGACCCAACAGAGATTATAGTGCCTTTCATTACTGATGAAATAAAGTTATGGGAACACAATGAACCATGGTAAAAAAAAACTTGTGCTATTTTTTTGGGGGAGAAATTAATAGCAATTATCCCAAAAGCGATAGACTTAACCTTATAAAGAGAACTTCTTGGATTCTTCCCTTAATTGTACATGATGCTCCAATAACTGAAGCCCGTATATTTTATACTGATGCAAATAAAACAGGAAAGGCAGGTTACAAATCAGAAGATTAAGTAAGGTGGAATAAAGCCCTTATAATTCTGTTCAAAAGGCAGAATTATATGCTATTCTCATGGCGCTAAGGGATTTTAAAGAGCCTCTCAATATAGTTACTGATTCACAATATGCAGAAAGAGTTGTTTTACATATTGAAACCGCTGAATTTATACCATATAATATAGAATTTACTTCATTAATCATACAGGTTCAGGATATAATCACGAATAGGCTTTGTCATATATACATAACACACATCAGATCCCACACAGGTCTGCCAAGGTAATGCAGAAATTGATCAATTATTGATTGGAAGTGTGTTGTAGGCCTCAGAATTTCATAAAAAACATCATGTCAATAGCAAAGGCTTGAAGAAAGAGTTTTCTATTACACGGAAACAAGCTGAGATTATAAAGAGATGCCCTACTTGCTCTTTCTATAACCAAACACCACTACCTGCAGGGACTAACCCAAAGGGTACTCAAAGGAATGAAATCTGGCAGATGGATGTGTTCCATTTTACAAAATTTGGAAAATTAAAATATGTATACCATACCATTGACACTTATTCAAGTTTTCAGTGGGCAACTGCTTTAAGCTCAGAAAAGGCTGATTCGGTAATCACACATCTATTAGAAGTTATGCCATCATGGGTATATAGACAGATAATAGCCCAGCATATGTCTCTAAGAAAATGAGACAGTTTTTTGCTTATTATAATATAAAGCATATTACAGGTATACCACACAATCCTAGAGGTCAGGCAGTTTTAGAAAGATCAAATTGAACTATAAAGGATATGTTAAACAGAAAGGAATGGAAAATGCCCCCAGAAATAGATTGCATAATGCTTTATTAGCCCTGAATTTTCTTAACACTAATGAGAAAGGGACAACAGCAGCAGAGAGACACTGGATAACAGAAGTTTTCTGAATTAAATCAGCTGGTATATTTCAGGGATGTGTTGACCTCACAATGGAAGCCAGGAAGATGTTCTACGTTGGGGAAGAGGTTTTGCTCTTATTTCAACAGGTGAAGAAAAGTTATGGATACCATAAAGATTCGCTTTGAAAAAGAGAAATCTCTTGAGAAAGAAATGACAGCTCATCCACAGAGGTGACAACCAATCAGGTGGTAAGGAAACCTTTTAAGGGTTGGGGCAGGGTTCTGTTCTTGTCTTTGCAGGAAAAAAACTCATCTTCAAAAAGTCAAGAGACCCAGGACAACTAGATGCCTAAAGAGGAAAAGATAATTATCCAGATAGGATCACCAAGCAAAGAGAATTATCACTTGTGAGGAGAGGTCATCTAAGGGTAAGAATCTCTAAACATAAATTAGAATAATTATCATGACTCACTTAAAAAATCAAAGCTGGCTTTGGAGTTGGACAATGGCTCTGTCTTCTAAATCCAAGCATGTTGTTTAAAAAAAAAAAATTCAGTTTCTGTCTCATGTCCAGAGATATCTGGTATGGGACAGAAAGAAGAAAAAAATTACATTTCTTCATATCTATTTTTGTCTCTATCGTACCTTTCATTGAATATATATCTGTATATGTCTATATAAATAATGTTTAAGTTTTCCACAATGAACAATGAATTTTCCTACAGTAAACTTTGAAGTTTCCAGGAAGAAGATGGGGTCCTACAACAACTCCATGTGGTTGATATGATGTCATGATGCTGATAGTGTTACTATAAGACCATTTTGGGTACCAGCTGCTCAAGATGGTTCCAACTTGGTTAGCTAAAATGGTGCACTTTTTTTTTATATAATGTTCTGGCCAGAACTCCAAATAGGAACCTCAGAAAAACCCTACCAAATACTCAGAGACTATTTGAAATTATATCAGACAGTAATCTTGGAACTTAGCCATCATTTTACTTTCACAGAATCCCATAGAAAGAACATCACCCCCATGACAGCTGGAAGTAATTCTAGAAGATGACGTTCCCTCTCCCAACAAAGTTTGTCCTCAGGGTTAGGGACATCATTTAGGAGTTGATTATAATTGGTATAGGGTTGGGGGGAAAATTATGTAGGATTAGGGGTTTCTTTAAAAAAAAAAGAGGAAGTTGGATGCGATAATATAGATTATTGTGAGCTTACTCACACTAATAATAATAGTAAGTAATAGAGTGAATACTTGTGAGCTACTATTTATAGGCAATTTACACTGGTATAGATTCTTGTATATTGATACAAACTTATTGAATGTTCCTATTCTCATCTACAATATTTATACATCTAGGCAAAGTTATTTTGTCATATTCTATGCACGCATGCTTCTCTACCTCTGCTTAAGACATTTTGAATATTGACACAATTTTAGGGTATATTTATCATATTGCAATATACATTTCTACTTCTGAACAAGGTACTTACACATTTTGAGATCATTATCCTCATTTGTTGCACAGTTGTTTAAAGATTGTTTAATGTTCCAATATGAAGTCTTAGTCTTTAAGTTATATAGGTATTAAGATTCATAGGTCAGTAGTCATGCATGTTTGTCAGTTAGACTAATCAGGTTCTTTAGATACATAGAGATTATATTTTGCATAGGTAGGTAATCTTCAACCACTTCAAAGAGCTGTAGAATATGGCATTTAAATAACATAGGGTTCTGTTGACCTGAAACAGGATTATTCCCAAGAGAATGTTGAACACTGAAAACACTCTACTTGGAGCTTGTCTTCTTCTTGGCACAACTGGCTTTTGGGCAAGGAACTGCCCATGCATCAACCACTGACAAAATGCACGATGTCCAGACAGGACAAGCAGGATACAAGAAAAAATCTGTCAAATCCTGCCCAGACAGGGAAAGATGGTTTTGAAATAGTCCCTGCCTCTGAAAGTCTGCTACTCTAGGCCTTAGCCAAAGTTGGTTGCTCCAATGTTGCAAATGAGACTTTGGGTGATTGTTCAGGTGACAGTTGTTTCTATCATTTGTTGTATATTTAGGAAGTTGCTGGATTGCACTTCCTGCCTACTCAAGTAATGTTGCGGGAGGTCCTTCCACTCCTCCAGCCAATAGCCGCTGAGATACCAGACCATTGGGGCGTGGTCTCTCTCTTTAAAAAAGTGGAGTCTTCCCTCCTCGCTCTCTTCTGCTTTCCTGGTCTCCGCGGGAAAGGTGGTTCTGTAAGTCTATTTCCCCATTAAAGCTGTATATATTTTTACAATCTGTCTGCATTCATTTACGCCGCTACAAAGTAATATTATTTCCCTTCTCGGGTCTTCGTTGGGGTTAAAGACTAGATAATTGTAGTTACTTTCCTCTCATGACTTGGCTGAGTTATTTATTATACAAGACTTAAACTCATTAGGATAGGATAATTATTGAAACATTTATTACATGTTTCTTGCTTGATATTGCTTATGCTGGTTGTAATTCTAATTTTTATACCTGTTATTTGTTCTTATTGTATATAACTTTGTGTTAGGCTTAGAACTTATTTTTAAAAAAGGGGGAAATGCTGTAGGAATTTCTACTGCCAGTAGCCTTTATGTATCACATACACTTGGGTGTGGTCTCTTATACATATATGCGATGTAAAATGTACATCTGGCCTCTTTTCCAGCCCTGGGATTCGTTGCTGTTCCCCATCCCAGCAGAAGATTATGATCTGTGAGTCTTCCCCTAAACATATAACCCTCTATTATACTCAATTCTGAGCTAGTGTGGGATTTCTTTTAAGTGTCCTTCTTCACAACATCTCACTATACATCCCTTGACAGACTGGAATTTATTATCCAAATGAGGCTGGCTTTGAACTTAGAGATCTGTCTGCCTTTGCCTGCTGAGTGCTGGGATTAAAGGTGTGTACCACTATATCTGGCTGAGAAAATAAAAATGTAAAAGCTGTTCCTTTTTATCTCCCCTCCTCCCTATTCTTTGGCTCTCTCCATGGCCCAAGCAACCTGGGAAGACTATAGCACACACCACATACGTCCAACTCAAGTTACCTGGACAGACTATAGCACACACCACATGAGTCCAACTCAAGTTACCTGGACAGACTATAGCACACATCACATGCGTCCGACTCAAGTTACCTGGACAGACTATAGCACACATCACATGCGTCCAACTCAAGTTACCTGGACAGACTATAGCACACACCACATGCGTCCAACTCAAGTTACCTGGACAGACTATAGCACACACCACATGCGTCCAGCTCAAGTAACCTGTAACCTGGGCAGACTATAGCACATACCACATGCGTCCAGCTCAAGTAACCTGTAACCTGGGCAGACTATAGCACACACCACATGTGTCTGGCTCAAGTAACCTGGGTAGACTGTAGACACTTACCACATATGCCTAGTTAAGTTACCATTCTTTAAAGGAGCAGTCTGACATAAATATTTAAAAGGAAATGTTTATTATTAAATACATATTCCCAAAACATTCACATTTAAAAAAAATACACACAAGACAAAATGTATATACATGCTGATCAGTGCTCAAAACAGGATGAGTTTTCTGAGTGACAGGTCCCTAGAACCTGTCGTTATCCAAGGGGACTCCTCAGTAAGTCTACCCTTCCAACCCCTGGGAAACCAGAGCAGTTTATAACGTAAAAAACGCACAAATTGCTATGCAAGTCCTTAGCTGCTTTGTTTACTTCATTATCCTTCTTCCCAATCCACCTGAGACTCCAGTAACTATTTTTCTCTGAGCAAGGTCAACTTAGAACAGAAACACAGAGATCTGGATGCTCGCAGCAGACAAAACCCCCCACAATGTTCCCAGCTGTACACTCACCTTTCCTTGTGGCAGATACCTAATTAAATAATAAACTAAGACAGTGTGGAAAAAATGGTTGTACGAGGAAAAAAAGCATTTCCGCCTTATCAACAGCACGCACATCATTAGGCTGTCAATATAAACATGGGCTACACTCGGCAACGCACCAGACTGCAGCAAGCACTGTGTAACCTCCTTACATCTCTGCGGTAACTACCTGTGTTTATACGCACACCTACAGGAAAGATCTCTATCTCTCCTATACACCCCATGTACACAGCGTAGACCGCACAGATCTGGAAGCAATCTTTGTCATTCATTTAGGCCCTGTCATACCTGTGAATTTCATGACCTGTTCCTTGAACCCATGAATCAGACTAAGGCTGCTCTAGAAGTAGAGAAAACCAGGGAACTAAAGATCGGACTCTACTTGGTGGTTTAACTCAAAGGTCACGCCAGGACATCTGTTTGCAGTCTTACATCAGAGCAAATACTGTAATTTTAAAATAAGTTATTCATCCTCCCTGGACTTGGATGCAAACAAGAACCTGTGGTTACCTGCCCCACCTCAGACACAGCAGAGACAGTGAACGGAGAAACTGTATCAGGAGCTCATATCTTTAAAGAATGGATGCAATAAGGCTGCTTCTGCTGTTATTCGTGAAGCTGGGTTTAGATCCAGAAGTTTATCAAGCAGATCATAGGCCTCATCAGGCACTGCGTCCCAGCCTTCCAAGTTGGTAGTACACTCCATGGGATGAGTCTCACAGCCACTACTGTCCCCTCGATCCACGGAATCCTTCGAGTGCTGTGGTGGAGGTATTTGTACGGGGGAAGACGTGTTCTCTGGAGAAGCACACCCTGGTGGACTAGCTGCTAACTTGGGGGTGTTAGGGTCCAGACCCCTTAGACTCTCACAGAGTTTTCTCAGGTCTTGTGCTGGAACTTCTTTGCTACACAAAATTGATTTGCCTAAAAGAAAAAACAATTACCTGAATTTATCAGAAGCAACTCATGGTGATATCTTGTTTGTACAAATAAAGCTTGCCTCAAGATCAGAGCATGGAGCTTGCCACTAGCTCACCCTGTCTGCACAGACAGGGAGTTACATGGCTGGGTAGAGAGAGGAAGTGATGGGGTGGGGGAGACAAGAACTCAGTCTTCTTTTGGCTGGGAAGTTGAGTAGGTAAGGTTGGTTTTGCTTCTTCATCTCTCTGATCCCTCAGCATTCTCCCCTCCCCCCAATATTTGACTCCGGGCTTTTAAAAAGACCTATTAGAACTCGTGGTACAGCAACTTATGAGAAACATGTAAGACCAGTCATGTGCCTCACGAATGTATTCAACCTACACAGCTGAAAGCCAGGTTACAAAGTAGGGAACAGAAAACAGAAAGCAGGGATTTCCTGAGCTGACTGCCAACTTCTCTGCATACCGCAGGTATGTTAGGATGTTCTGGTAAACACATTTGGGCTTAGCTCAAGAATCATATGTGTGAGGTCTGTATTTAGAAAGGGCCTTGTTAAGCTTCTGTTAATCTGTGGAGGGTTGTTACTATGGTAACGAATGAAACATGTCTGTCTCACCTACAGACTTTGAGCTCCTTCAAGATTCAGATGTTTGGATCTCCTCAAACCTATGCATTCCTGGTGCACACGAGACACTGTCAATGTCTGCTGTGCTGGTCTAGATGAACCTGTCCTAAGCAGTAGCCGTGCCCTCTCCACTCTACCATCTGTAGTAAACGTTGTCTTCGACTAGGACTTCAGCTCACAATAAAGTGCCTGGGACCCCCCCAAGGCATGCTCATGAACAAACCAGATCTCAGTTTTTTCAAAACTATAAGGGTCAGGCGGGGAGGTAATCAGTGGATACAGCACTTGCTGTGTTCAGTGTGAGGACTCACGTTCTCGTTCCCACAATCCACCCAAATGCCCAGTAAGCGTGACAGCACACCTTTAATTCCAGTGCTCAATAGGCAGAGATGGGAGACCTCTCAGGGCAAACTAGCTTGTAAGAATAGCCGTATCATCAATCTGTGCCTCCGTGAGGAAGGAGAGCAAGAGGAGGGCTCCTGTGTCAACTTCAGGCCTCCACAAGCACACACGCGCGCGCGCGCACACACACACACACGTTTAAAAATGTAAATGCCTGTAAAATAACCTGCCACCAGTCTGTTGCCAGAATGGGCAAAAGTAAGGACAGAAACAGGTCATCGTCAACTGTATACTCCGAATCAGACAGAAACAGGTCACTGTCAGCTGTACACTTCCGCATCAGACAGAGATGCAGCTGTTAACAATGAGGCGCACACACAGGTCCCTTGATGGAGCATACAGCTTGCCAACAAAGCAATCTTGGTAGTAAAAAGCCTCCTTTACATATTCTAATATAATTACTGGACAGGAAAGAGGAGGGGGTGGGCAGGAATGGAGAAAGCCAAGGAAGCAAATGAACACAGACTAAGCTTGTGAGAATTTAACATGTGAGCCCATTTTTACTTTTAAAACTCACTTCTACTTTTGACAGGAAATTCGACCAGAGGAAGCAAGCCATACAGTTTTATTCCTAATTTATTAGCTTGCTCTGACATAAGATAAAGTCCAGCATGTTCTAGTGGCAGGGAATATTATTTTAAGGTTTGTTTCTTTTCTTTATGTTGCATTTATTTAACTCTGTGAAGCTGTTACTTTGCCTGTCTAAAATACCTGAGGGTAATAAAGAGCTGAACGGCCAACGGGCTGGGAGCAGAGAGCACATATATGATAAATATGGGAGAAAAGGATCGGAGAAGGAGGAGAGGACATCAGGGCCAGGCACCCCACACAGCGGCCACGGAGCCAGAGTGAAAGTAAGATTCACAGAAGTAAGAAAAGGAGAAAGTCCAGAGGTAAAAAGTAGATGGATAATTTAAGTTAAGAAAAGCTGGCTAGAAACCAGTCAGTCTAAGGCCGGGCTAGGTAAGAATCACCCTCGTATGTGATTTATTTGGGAGCTGGGTGGGGGTTCCCTCAAAAGAGCCAAACAAGTAAAAAAACATCACATGGCATCCTGGGCTGTGTGTGCATAAATGTTAGCACTTGGCCAGGGTACATTTAAATAAAGAACTGAGGGAAACACCCTAACGAACACATTCAGCCAGGATATGCTGTGTCAGGCATTTGTTTCTGTTCAGTTTTCTTTGAATCTATTCACCACCGCCACCTACAGCGGGACAGGCTCCACCATGAAGCAGCGTGTCTCTGGGCACCGAGTCTTTAGCGCCCAGCTCAGGTTTATAAGATCTGACTGAAGGAATTCCATTCGTGGCCTTCATTATAATAACTATCAATGAGGGAAATTCAAGCTTTTCAACAAAATGTTTTGGTACTGGCTGACAGGCTGCAGATCCCCAGCCTTCTTTTAAAGCTGTTTAATGGGAGGTAGAAAGTTTCACGCAGTTGAGAACAATTGTGAGCACGTCTCTGGGACGGAGTCCTAATTTCAGGACAGGATGTCAGTCTTCCCACGTTAGCATGTTCTAGTCTCTGGGACGGAGTCCTAATTTCAGGACAGATGTCACTCCTACCATGTAAGCATGTGCTAGTCTCTGTGACAGAGTCCTAATAAGTATTCCATTTTTCTAAATTGTATTTTCCATGTAGGCAGGGTGGGGGCAAAAGTATGTAGTTCTTAAAGTTTGTCAGTCAATTCTGATATGTATTTCTGTTTACAATCCCCTGGTCCTGGGGCTGGGCACACAGCAGCTTAGCTGCTGTGGAGCAGGCCACCTGAGTCTGTCCACGGCACCCCCTGATGAGCTGGGGAGCAGCAGTTGTACTACTGTTTGGAGAAGAGACACACGGTGGGATCTGAGTCTGGGCCACTAGAGCAAGGCTGAGGTTATTCTCAGGACCCCGTGGAACACATCTTCTCAGTCTGAACTTATATTGCTAATATTTAAGCTCACGAGCTGGGTGTGCTATCACACATCTGTAACACAAGCACTCAGGAGGCACAGGCAGGAGGACCTGTGAGTTCCACGCTGGCCTGGTATGTAGTAAGTGCCAGGCCAGCCATAAGTATACGAGACCCTGCCTCAAAAAGTAAAGAAATGACACGTATGTGTGACAATGTGCAGTAAACGAAGGTCGGGTAGTCTTACCTCTCGGCCTCCCTGACCCCAGGAAACTACACATTACCTTCCCTAGGGCGGTCCTTCCTTCCGCGCCAAGAACCTGACGCTTAATAAACAGCGCATTAAATTTTACTATTAAAAAAATTTATATAGTAAAAGTCCAATTACCACCAAAGAGTTAAGATTACAATGCTGACTTCTAGCTGGCTGACAAAGAAACGCAGAGCCCGGCTTCTGGTACCAGAGCCATTAGTGCTGTGATCCAGCAAATGGTTTAATGCTGTAAACAACCGTTTTCAGGCAAGAGACAATTTCCTAGGAGTCAAGGACTATGAATACCAAGAAAGATATTTGCAAGAACTTTGTAAGAATTTATTTAGCAATTTATAGGCGATAATGAAAAGCATCTGTCTTGCTCTAGGACATGAAACTCACCGAAAGCTTTAGCAGCCTGGACAGTTTCCCTGGACCCTCGGACTGTCATGATCTGAGCCAGAGCAGTTAAGTCGTCGCTGGCCTTGTAGAACGGGTATCGCCCACTGAGCAGAGAGAGCAGGATGACACCTGCTGACCACATGTCGATCGCTGTGACAGGAAACCAACGTTAGAACCCAGCCTCTGCTGTGAGCGTGCAGCCATCTGACTGGGGCTGCGGACCTTTCCTGTGAACTGACATCAACAGAGTCCCACCAAATAGTTCTGGAATGGCTACCTAAGTTTCTGAGGAGAAACTTTAATGTATGACCACAGCTCCAGTTCAACACTTCCTGAAAAGTACTTTTCTCTCTTCAACACACTGGGATTAGAAACATTTCATCACTGTGAGTAAATGTACATCACAATATAATCAGAGGAAATTCAACAACAGCTACATGGGCAGAAATCTGGATACTCTTCAGGAATGCACCTTGGTAGTGAGACACCGGGCATTAACACCAGCGCAGTGCAACCCTGGGTCTGAGCCAGGGAAAAACACAGCCAACCTGACTCGAGCCTCCTTGTCGCTGTCCCCGGCCGCTCACCACTGTCTGCTCCTCCACCCTGTGCTGAGGTTCCTCAGAATTCCAATCTCTTCCCTGCATATTTCCCACCTCCACCACAGTACAGCTACAGCCACCATTTATATCCTGATGCTCAACTGTGGCTCCATCCTAGCTCCTGCCCTGAGCTTAGGACTCTTACTCTGCAGGACATTCTATTTGGACGTGCCATGAATCTCAACCCGGCTACGGCTCAGTCCAGTTAGATCTTTCTCTCCTTCATTCTCGGTCTTGTTTCTGGACATGCCCACACCCCTCAGGCTAGCAATATAAACACACTGGATGCCGTTTCCCTCCAGTACCCAACCAACACCTACTAGCTGTGCTTGTCAATCCCTTACCTTCACCCTGTTACCAATTCACTCATTCATGTACTCCTTCCCTCAGCTGGACCTCTGTAGGACACTCAGAAGCTATTCCTTCTGCAGTCTCCTACAATACAATTCCTACTGTCTGTCCTTGATGGCATCTATGGCCCACAGTCCAAAGTTTAACAAGCGCCATCCGTGTCTTTCCTGTGTACCTCCAATCATGTCTTCATTTTTATTTTACACCAAGCAACACTAGACTCACGGCTTCCTCTACTGCTGACCGTGCTCTTTCTGCAGAGTCTCGGGTATGGTCACTGCCAGTCTCCAACTCTACAGTATTTCCTCTCCAGTCATCTCGAGGCCCCCCTTCACATGCCCTCAGTGTCTTGTGACCACGCGTCCTAACTGGAATGGAACGAGGCAGCCATGCTCATTTAAACGCCACTAGTGTCGCAGGGCAGGTTCATTACGAACGACTTCTCCGAGGCCCATGATCCACATGAGCAGTGGGCATCATCTCGTCCATCTAACATGGTGTCTCCAGGCCCCACCTCCACAAAAAGAGGCTCCTGCACTTCTGACAGGGTCTTCAAGGCTCTACGACTTCCTGGATTCTAGAAATCTCTTCTCCTTTTCAAAGTCTGTTAACTGTTATTGCATTATTTTCATGGTAACAAAATATTAAAAAAATGTGTCTGTGCCATGGAAAGCATTGTGCAGAAATTTCTGAGGTGGAAGAGAACAGGAAAGTGCTGCAGCCCTGACGCTAACAGGAACACTGGACAGCGCCCCATACAGGGTAAGTGCTGCGGCCCTGACACTAACAGGACTACTGGACAGCGCCCCCGATACAGGGTAAGTGCTGCGGCCCTGATGCTAACAGGACTACTGGACAGCGCCCCCGATACAGGGTAAGTGCTGCGGCCCTGATGCTAACAGGACTACTGGACAGCACCCCCCCCCCCATACAGGTATCCTTAGGAAAGAGCAGCAGCACAATCAGAAAGAGGAGCTGCTGCAGCTGCCAGGACCTCAACCTCAGGCATGGGGATAAGCGCTCTGGATGACTCCGCACCTCGAGATACATACCTGTAGTTTGGTTAGGACACTTGGTCAGGACCTCTGGTGCCCTGAATCCTGGTGTGCCTGCCCGAGGGGCAACCTGCTGCCGCCTTGTAAGGAAAAAGAAGACACCTAGTTACGTTAAAATTGAGCTATTAGTGGGGCATGGGGGATACATGCCTCAATCCATCCTAGCTTGAGAGACAGAAGCTAGCCTGGTCTACACAGGTAACAGTTCCAGGACAGCCTGGTCTACACAGACAGACAGAGCTCCAGGACAAGCTTTATTTATTAGAACACAAATAATATACCACTATATAAGCTACCAAATTAGTTCACATGAATTCTGCCCTGGTGTCAGCAGAAATAAAATTCGCATAAGCACTGAACACTCCCTGTGATAAACATTCGCAACTGACTTTCATTCTCCTCTGCCAACCCCACAAACTGGTGCTAGCCCAGATGGATTTCAACAGTTTTCAAGTATAAAAACAGATGGTAGGCAATAAAGTGTGATATAAAAACAGAATACAAGAGGAATTCATATAAAAACCCTTTGGTTGGGGGACCTTGAATTACTGATATACTCAGTCACGTGTAGATTTGAGTTAATAGGGAAGAACCTATAAAAACCAAGCCTAAAGGAAAAACTTTCCAGGCAGAGAAGCGTATGAAGCCTTATTTGGTTCTGGTCACTCAACAGGCAGGAGCAGTAAAGTCAACAGAAACAATGACTTCTGCGAGCATGTCTCCAAGCGCCTCCCCACCCACCCATAGCCGCATGTGAGGGCAAATGTGCTTTCCAGAGAAAGAGTTCTCATCACACGAATACGCGACAACTGTAATTTACCAGCGTGCGGCTGTGTACGGGGCCCATGTTTACTCCCTGCACCCACTAAACCAAGATCCCACCAGTCCTTCCCAGTCTAAGTGTGTCTGGCTCACCTTGCCAGGCAAATGCTGCACACTCTGTCTGTTCCGTAACAGTCGCAGGTCGGCATGGCCGGGCAGGAACTGGCAGTTTTCCTCACCACGCTAGTCACAGCTTTGGTAGAAACGGTTGCCTTTTTTGTTGCTAGCTTTCTTGAGATTACGTCCACAGTCTTTGATTGCTTTATGAGCTACAAAAAAAGTTGTATTTTCTATTTTTGTGGTATTTAACAGACACTTTCAAATGCCGGCATGGTAAAAAGCATTATCAGAAGCATGAACTTCACTCAAAACTGCTGAAGGAGCTACAGACTGCAATCAGCAGCTGTCTACTAAAATGCGTTAAGGCCGCTGGGCAGGGTCCTATATGTTAGTAATAGCTGAACTGGGAAGGCTGAGGCAGGATTCCAAGTTCGATGCCAGACTAGGCTGGGTAGTAAAATCCTGCCCCCCAAAAAAATAGTTTGGCTTTCTGTCTACTAACATTAAGACTCACTAGTTAGCGGGCAGATATGACGCTGTATTAGAACATGTCCTGACACACTAGAGAATCACCTAACAGCACCTACAGTTGCTAATTACCAAGGTCTGACTCCACTTCACAACTGTAACACGCAGTTACACTGCGTCCATCTGTCGTCCGAGCGCTTGCCGCCAGAGTTCCTAAGTCAATTTAACATCACCTATCCTGAAGGCACATTACAGGTCTATTTAACCTACTGTGTGGGGACTGAGGTGCTGCAAGCTCAGGTGGAGTCTAGCCCTGTTCTAAATGTTCCTCTAGAGAAAGAACAGCAACAGCTAACCAGAATTAAAAACTCCATCAAAAAACTTCAACTTTTGAGTAAAACTACCTTCTGCCAAAGCCAAACTCTACTCTAGTGCTAACTCTGGTGGATTCCCTGAGCTCGGCGGGCAGTTGGGCTGCGAAGCTACATTACTTACTTTCTCTGCAGGGCTCTCATGTGAAATGGAGCTTTGTATATTGAAATCTCTTTCTCCAAAAACAGAGCGCTGGACAGAAAGGCCTACAGATCCCTCCTACAATACGAAGGGAAACAGGGAAAACAAGGATTACATCTGTAACACTTTCTGCCAGCGGTACTCTGCTCGAGTTTCAGAACAAGACAGCTGCACCCAAGACATGAAGGAGAAATAGCTAGGCAACTTGTAACACCCACACCATGTCACCAGTCCACACACACACACACACACACACACACACACACACACAGTCCTCCACCACCACCACCGAAGTCTCTAAAGCCACTTGCACAGATGCTTCACGTTCCTGAGCAGCTAAAATGGAGACAGACACTTGACATTTTCCCCCATAATGCTTTTCAAAAAGGAGGACATCTACATTTTGTAACACACAGGGAACCCCTCCCCCATTTTATTATATAATGCACTCTATAACTGCAGAGACTGCAGGCTAACAGAGCAGGAACCTTTAGCCTGAATGGAGTAACAACCCTAGTGACGAGGCTCACCAACTGAAACGTGTGACCTTTAAAGGCCCAGCCTTCTATCCCCCTCTGACAGCTGATGGAGAACACTCTAAATGTTCGTATTTGAAAATGTAAAAGGCAGAACCTTTCCATCTTTTCCTGGCTTAATGTGAATCTGCGTGTTTGCGTAGGATCTTTTGACGGACGTTTTTGGGGCACACTGCTGATCCGCATTTTTAGGTGCTGGGCGACTCAGTGATCCCTTGTGTCCAGTGACTCCGTGGTACTTGTTTCGTGAACAACCTTCCTGCTGGGCCTCAGACTGGACAAACTTGAGAAGCTCAATTTTTGTGTCATGGGTTCCTTGGGCCAAACCAAAGTCCACCAAGGCATACCTAAGGAGCAATTTAATAACCTTAGTAACCTTAATAACATCCATCCAAACCATATCAGAAACTGCAATTCACTCCAGAACGATTAAGAATTTATGATGGGGGGGGTGGCTAAGAGATGCCTCAGCAGTAAGGAATACTGCCTGATCTTCCAAAGGACCCAGATTCAATTCCCAGTACCCATATGACCACTAAAACGGTCTGTAATTGCAGTTCCAGGGGATCTGAATATCAGAAAGGATGAATCCTTTAAGCGACCAGTCAGTTAAGCACCCTCTCTCTGCTTCTGGCCTGTGCGGAGACAAGGCAGAGGAGAGGGAGTGACAGAAACAGAAGGCGACACCCGTGGCCATTCAGGAGTGGGAGGTGGGAGGGGCTTAGAGTGGGCAACTTCCACTGAAACAAGTACAAAGAAATTACAGAAAAACACAGGCTACAGAATTGGTCTTAGTTTCCTGATCATACTAAGTATGATATACAGCATAAATACTATTTTCAGCTTATAACATCTCTTCCATATTTAATCAAAATGCACATAACAACTTTGGGGTTAAAAGGGCTCTAAGGTCAAAAAGGGCTAGATTCTAAGTTTGTCTCATCTAAGTGCGTATCTCATGATGTCCATGTGTTATGAAGATAATTTTATTTTCCTCGTTGCATCTCCTCTCCCCAATCACAATAAAAACGTGAACAGAAACAACGTGAGCACCGTGGTTGTTTATATTGTATGTCTATCTAAGAGACAACGTGAGCACCGTGGTTGTCTATGTTGTATGTCTAAGAGACACCGTGAGCACCGTGGTTGTTTATATTGTATGTCTATCTAAGAGACAACGTGAGCACCATGGTTGTCTATGTTGTATGTCTAAGAGACACCTTGAGCACCGTGGTTGTTTATATTGTATGTCTATCTAAGAGACAACATGAGCACTGTGGTTGTCTATGTTGTATGTCTATCTAAGAGACAACTTGAGCACCGTGGTTGTTTACATTGTATGTCTAAGAGATGAACTCCACAGTGCAAATTCAACTCTCATCTTTTCTGGGATTCTTCCTACTTACTTTTTCAGGCGTCTATTATATAAAAAGTTGCTGGGCTTCACATCACGGTGAACAATACCAAACTGATGAATCCGTTTCAAAGCAATGAAGAGATTAAACATATATTCCCGCACTTCTTCAAAGGAAAGAGAATTCAAAATGTCCTAAAATAGAGTTATGAACCAAGTCACAAAACTACTTCAGCTAAACATTTAGCTAAGCAAAGCTATAAAACTATTGAGACCTACCAGAAACGACTCATGTTCCAGATACGGCATGGCAATCACCACATGGTCATCCTTCCTGAAGCAGTACTTAACTCCCATGACGTTGTCCTGTCCCCTGGTGGGAAACGAACACACAATGCATCTTAGAGGGCAGGTCAGAGCGCTGCAGCTTTATCCCTTAAAAACTGAATTAGTTCAGCAACGCACATGTACTTACTACTGGAATATGCAACAAAATCACATTAGGGAATACAATCATTTAATTGGCATATAAAAGGTAAATTTTTCAAACAAAAATAGCACCAGTTATAAGGTTACTATGACAATCCAAAGATGAGAAATCCCGAGTTTTAAGTGAGGACATGGGCAGACAACAAGACAGATAAGAGGGGTCAGAACGAATGTAAGAGCCAGAGGGGACGGAGGCCTCCAAGGAAACAGTGTCCTTTTATTTTTATTATTGGCTTTTATTTTATTTTTTCTGTCTTACTAGTATTTTGTCTATATATTGTGGTTTCTGACCTTGTGTTTTTATGGGTTTTGTTTGGGTATGTGTGTGTGTTTCTCTTTTCATCCATTCAGAGATCCTCCTGCCTCCCAGCTCCTAAGAGAGAAGGTGCGCACCACCACACCTGGCCTCCCAGCTCCTAAGAGAGAAGGTGTGCACCACCACACCTGGCCTCCCAGCTCCTAAGAGAGAAGGTGTGCACCACCGCACCTGGCTTCAGTCTGTGCTCTGTTTGCCTGTTTGTTCACTGTCCACACAGAGAAAGGGTGAGGAACTGGGTGGATGGGAAGGCCCTAAAAGCAACTGGGGGAAAAGGAAACCATGATGAGAATATATTGTATGAAAAGTTCTTCAGTTAAAACAAAACCCCAAATTTCAGTCTGCCAACACCTCATGAAAAAGGTTATCCTCCACCCTTCTCACAAATGAGGGAACAAGACAAAGGAGAACGTCCCCAAAGCCACAAAAGGAGTTAAGTCGTGGAGGTCTGACTGAACCCAGGCAGTTTCCTCTGGAGTAGAGACTCCTACTCTCTGAGCTAGAAGGGGACGTTAGAAGGAAGTTATCAGTAGTTAGCAGTAAATTAGGAACACAAGAGATAGAAGCATCTAAAACCCAGTCAACAAGGCAGTAAAACCACACCTTCCCAATGGGAAGCCAAGCAAGGGACTGAGAACACACTGGCAGAAAAGACACCTTTTTTAGCTCAGGTTCTCACGTTATAGTTCATCTGGTCTAAAACCTCACAGAGATCCTTCTGCCTTAGCACTGCTGAGATTATAGGCATCGCCCGACTTGGGCAATGCCAGTTCAGGAGTAAAATGAAGAAGCTGAGGATGGTATCTACGTGTCTGGCTTGAACAACTGAGCAGGCAGATGTAGTGTCTTTTACACACAGGCAGAGGAGAACAATTGCTGGACTGGTTATTTTCTGGCTAGGCAAGACAGATTAAACTTTAGGGGTGTATGCGCACATCCAATACACAGACAAATTAATACATCATCTTGTTCATACATGGAAGCCAATAAAGTGGATCTCACAGAGTAGGAAGCAAAACAGGATCACTAGGGATTCAAGGTTAGTGATAATGGTTATCAAAACACATCTGGCTGCCATCAATAAGGCCTGGTGTTGTGCTGCACAGTAGGGTGACTATAGTTCAGTGCAATTTATTTACACATTTCATCTGAGGTCTGAAATACAAAGCAAGATAAACCTTTAAAGAGACAGAATTATTACTGCACCTGATTTTGCTTATATAAAATTATTATATCATGCTCTATAAATGTGCAATTATTTTGTGTCTGTTAAAAAAGTCAATTATGTTCAACAAAGAGAACAACAACTGAGTCTGCAGTCAGAAGCGTGTAGGCACAAGTGTGTAGTCACAAGTGTGTAGGCACAAGCGTGTAGGCACAAGTGTGTAGTCACAAGTGTGTAGGCACAAGTGTGTAGTCACAAGTGTGTAGGCAGAAGAGTGTAGGCACAAGTGTGTAGGCAGAAGAGTGTAGGCACAAGTGTGTAGGCACAAGTGTGTAGTCACAAGTGTGTAGGCACAAGCGTGTAGTCACAAGTGTGTAGGCACAAGCGTGTAGTCACAAGTGTGTAGGCACAAGCGTGTAGTCACAAGTGTGTAGGCACAAGTGTGTAGTCACAAGTGTGTAGGCACAAGTGTGTAGGCAGAAATGGTACGTGTAAATAACTTCTGAGAAACTGGCCGTTAAGGAGAGCTAAGGGGTAGCAGGGCAACCTGATGACCAAGGACAACTCAGAGCGAGTGGACACTGGTCACCACATCGTGTGTCAACAGGACTAACCGAGCTGAGTCTAGACGCCTAGGGGAAAGACAGGAAACAACAGGAGGAAAGGTTATCAGTCCTGGAGAGGGAGACAGTTCTTCCCACTAAGAACAAGCGTGGACCATAAGCCAAAGCCAGTATTTGCCAGGAAGGAAGGTTACAAAGAGATATGGGATAAAAACAGGAAGCTATGCTGGAGCTCAGGAGAAATCCCCTCTAAAAGGATTAACGGAAATTTAACCATGCCAGGTGTGGGCAAAGCACTAGCCAAGAGCAAAGAGGTGGCGGGAACTTCAGGCACAATCTCATCATTCCTGCAAACCACAGCCAGTTCCGTGAAACGCCCGCCAGTCGCCTACCCCGCAACGGTCAGACACTGAAGCTCTGCAGCAATTCTTACAGGATGGCTTGTTGGGATTAAGTGTTTCAGCGCAATTTTCTCTTCGTGTCCTACTTGCAACTGTGCCGTGGCCAAATAAACAGAGCTGAAGGTGCCTAGAAGCAATTCAGTAGATTTTTCAGTATTAGGCTTTAAAAATGTTAAGGTAAACAATGTTATAAGATTAATAAATGTCTCAATGGGATAAAAGACCAATTATGACTGTCTGTTTTACCCTAAATATTTATCACTTTCATTCTTTCCAAGGGGGAGAAAATCTGTCACCATAGCTACTAACATTATCATGATTTCAACAGTTTCACAATATAAGATATACCCTTAAATTACCTTCTCCGATTTTGTCCTTGATTTTGAACAGACTGACAAGCTGTGGAACAGCTTCACAAAGCTTCTCAATATCTTTTTTAATGCCTATGAGGGAAGTAAGAATTTATAGTTAGAATCAATGAGAGGTATTTTAAGGGTTTTGTTGTTGCTCATTTTGGTTTGGGACAGGGCTAGGCACACCCCCACCCCCAGATGTCCTAGAAGTCTCTCTGTAGACCAGGCTGGCCTTGAACTCACAGAGAGCTGGGATAAAAGGTGTGCACCACCACTGCCACCAGGCTTGGACAGGGTCTGTGAATCTCCCCTCTGACTCTCAAGTACCATTACAAGAATCTGCCATCACTGCTCAGCTTCTACAACTCCTTAGGTGAAAGAGAAATCAAGTCAGGTGTGGTGGCGCACGCCTTTAATCCCAGCACTTGGGCAGCAGAGGCAGGCGGATCTCTGAGTTCAAGGCCAGCATGGCCAACAGAGCAAGTTCCAGGACAGTTACACAGAGAAACCCTGTCTCGAAAAACCAAAAAAGACAAATCAATGAAATACATTTTAAAGCAAGTAATTAACCACAAAATGATAAACATTAAAATCCCATAGAGTTGCTAAAAAGTTGCAAGCTACAAAAGTTACCAGCAGGAATAAAAAAGACAGCCTCAAAAGCAAACATGGCGAATTTCTACAGACTAAGAGATACACAGCCAGTACATAGCTGGCCTTTAAGATGAAAATGCCAAGTTTAAAGCAAAGAGACCTAAAGCTGGGCAAGGTGGCCCACACAGCAGATCCAGCTCCTCAGGACCCTAAGGCAAGAAGAGCACTGGAGCCCCAGGAGAGGATGTGATAATACGTGCTGGTACTTCCAGAGCCTGGGACGTGGAAATGAGAGGGTCAGGAGTTCAAGGCCAGCCTCAAACACACAGTGAATTTGAGGCCAGACTGTCTCAAACACCCAAAATATATGAGATAAAATACAAACAAACATGCAGTGCGTGCTGCGATCACTAGGTGGCACACTAAGGGCACAACGCAATAGTCTTGAAAACAATTTCCTTCACCAAGACCCAAAATCTCCCAGGCTGTCAAAGTGTCATGCACAGATTGGTCAGTCCATTCTTAGACAGACGGCCTTCTAAGGTCCTCTAGTATGGGGTGGGGAGAAACTCATTTAATGTGTCCCCAAAGTTAACAGCATTCTGTCTTTGACCCCAGAAAATGGCTAATTTTAACTAAACACAAAAGTATAGATAAAGTGGAAGCAGTAACATAAAATCTAGTAAACTATTGACACGAAAAGAACCCCATAAAAATCATCAAATGAGCACGAGCTAGTTTCTCAAAATTATACTCAAAGTATATGGCATTTTCAAAGTGCTTTTCTCCGTGGTTCTTCTCCCTGCAGGGGTGTGGCCAGAGCTCAGGGCTCACTAGCTAGTGCACACATCACCTGGTTTCTGACGCAGCCTCACTACATAGCTCAGGCTGGTCCCAAGCTTGCAATCCTTTCTTCCTGAATCCTGGGACTCCAGGCACACGCCACTGCTTGGCCCTCAGATTTTCCTAACAGCACCGTGATGTTGGCACACTGACTATCTTGCCAGGCACAGCGGCACACAACTTTAGTCCCTCACTCAGGAGGCAAGAGGCAGGCATCTCCCTGCATGAGTTCCCAGCAGCCTGTTCTACACAGGAAGTTTGACGCAGCTAGCTAGGGTGTGCACAGAGAGAGACCCTGTCTAAATCAGATTCAGAAATCAAGGCAGAGAGGTTACATCCTTTGCTCAGTATCAGGGAGGCACCATGACGCTTACACTAACTCACAATCACTACCTTTAAAAATTTTCGACAACGTGTATACTCTTAAAATGAACAAACTCAAGCAACTGAGCTTCTCCAGGAATTTTAGTCTAGTAGAAGAGACAGACTCTTTTTTGTTGTTCTTTTCCTAAGACAGGGTTTCTCTGTAGCCGTGGCTGGGATTAAAGGCGTGCGCTGCCACTGCCCAGCCTAGACGGGTTGTGTCCTAGTGTGGAAAATGAAAGGACATTTTAAGAAGACAGAACTATGTACGCAGAGACACTGAGAAAGGAAAGAAAGATCGGGGCAAAGCCGAAAAGGGCAAAGCAGACAACGTAAGCGAAGGCTACAGAGTTCAAAGCAGAGAAACGACAAGGAGAAGACAGATTAAAGGGGAAGAGGAACAAGCGTCAGAGACCAGAGTCCAAGAGGAGCCAAACAGCCTCACCTCAGGGAGGCAACAACTTAAGCTGCATCCAACAGAGGAGACTCCACACAATTTCAACACAGGAGACTGTGTAACAACCCTGGAGATGGGGAGAGTAGGGTCTGTCTTGAGCACAGAGTTCATCTCTGTGAATAATCTAAGTTTCCTATCTATAGGCTTACATACATCATCATCACTATGGTTACTGGAATGCTGAGGACCAAACCTTGTGCACAATAGCGCAGCGCTCTACTGCTGGGCTGCATCACCAGCTGGTGCTTTATCATCTACAGGAGAATATAAAAGTTAGGATAAGAAGGTTCTAATAGTATCCGTGTCATTTGGGCATTATGTAGACAAAGCTGGCCTCAAACTCAGAGATCCTCCAGTCCCTGCATCCCAAGTGCATGAAAGGCTATGCCGCCACGACCAGCTATAGGAGCTTGAGAAACATCAATCACTGATTTATCGCTAACATCTAGAAAAGCGCCTGCATATATGAATATATAGTAAGTATCCATCACTTAGACATGTTCTCGGTCTCACCATAGAGCAACAGTATGGAGTATACTGACTTAATTTCCTATACTTAGGGGATCATGTAGTTTCATACAAGCTGAAATAAATTTTAAATAAAAAGAGATCAAACCAATACCTGCAACCACTGCAAGCATGCACTCGGACACACGCGAGTATCCCATACCCACTGTAAGGCACGCACGCGGGTATCCCGTACCCACTGTAGGGCACGCACTCGGGTATCCCGTACCCACTGTAGGGCACGCACTCAGGTATCCCGTACCTATTGTAAGGCACGCACTCGGGTATCCCGTACCCACTGTAGGGCACGCACGCGGGTATCCCGTACCCACTGTAGGGCACGCACGCGGGTATCCCATACCCACAGGTATCCCGTACCCACTGTAGGGCACGCACGCGGGTATCCCGTACCCACTGTAGGGCACGCACGCGGGTATCCCGTACCCACTGTAGGGCACGCACCCGGGTATCCCGTACTCACTGTAGGGCACGCACGCAGGTATCCCGTACCCACTGTAGGGCACGCACGCGGGTATCCCGTACCCACTGTAGGGCACGCACGCGGGTATCCCGTACCCACTGTAAGGCACGCACTCGGGTATCCCGTACCCACTGTAGGGCACGCACCCGGGCATCCCGTACCCACTGTAGGGCACGCACTCGGGTATCCCGTACCCACTGTAGGGCACGCACTCGGGTATCCCGTACCCACAGGTATCCCGTACCCACTGTAAGGCACGCACGCGGGTATCCCGTACCCACTGTAGGGCACGCACCCGGGCATCCCGTACCCACTGTAAGGCACGCACCCGGGCATCTCGTACCCACTGTAAGGATGTTTTACTTAGACAATCACTGTGGGAAACAGTGATTGTTTGCTATTGTCTACAGAGCTGTGTTTCTGAAGGAGCTCTATGGTCTTGGCATGACTCTGGTCACAAGACCCTCCTGGCACACCCGGAACACCTTGCTTTATTGGGTACTGCAAACAGTGCACAGTAAGGAATAAGCTGCAGGGGTGTGATGCTTCCTTCAGAAAACATGAAGATTAGATCAGGGCTTTGGTGTGAGGAACTTGTGTTAACAATCAATAAAGACACCTTTGCATGGCTGTTCTCCCTGCTGTGACAGAGCCTGAAATCCACCTGGAGTGACCCTCCATCTTTGATTATTCCACAATAAACAGGACACCCCCAAAGCAAAAGAAGTGCATACCATAAATTAAAAGTCAAAATTAGTATCTTTTTGGACAAGACTAAATCTCCTTGGGACAAAGACTATGGCTGCATTTTAGACCACATGGGCAGCAGGTACAGTGTGTATGAAGAGATACTACTTCTGTGGGTGGCCCTGAGACTGGGTGTCAAGTAGCCCGGGCTGGCCTTGAACCCCCGATCCTCAGGCCTCCACCTGCACCTGAGCTTATGGCTGTGGACCCCCACGGCCAGCTGAAGGGGCACGCTTTAGCTGGTAAGATACCATATTTTCAATCATCATCTTGAGTGGTGAGCTACAAATCATTCTATTTATTTCTATCTGTGAATTCTGTTTCTGAATACTTAAGATTCCTTCCCTGACAATTTCTAAAACCAAGCTTTCCCAGGTAAGGTGGGTCTGGAAGGGAAGTGCCAGTTTAGGCTTCATCAAACACGTTTCCCTAGAGAGTACTTAATGTCTGGAATAAATATTTGTTATCTAAAAGGACAAAGTTGGATTCCAATCCTCTCAAAATGCAACCCAATCCCAAGTCTAGATTTTATGAATTTATGCAACAACACGTGAAATCCTACATAAACACACGACTCAGTTTATGTGGATTTTGGTTTGTTTGTTTGTTTGTATTTCCGAGATTGTAATTCAATTACAGTTCAACGAATTAGAAAATGCAGAGAAGGGCCGGCTGGGTGTGCATTGTCTGAATTGGGGCATTAAACACATACCTGAAAGTTTAACATTCTGCTCATATTTTTTTAATGAGTCATCAGTGGGGCTCCTGTCACAGCCCTGCAGAGCAGAAAACGCCACCGGCTCCTCCATCTGAGCACCCAGTGAGGCTCCCACCACACACAACTGGAATGCCAAATGCCAACTACGGAGACATGGCCACAGGGGAGAGCAGAAGCTGTGAAAAACAGAACACTGTGAGAAAGGAGAACCCTGCACCAGGCACACCGCGCCAACTGCCCTCAACGGAACTAACATTAAAAAACACACCGTCAGTCCACCTCCCAGCCTGGAGGGCGGGACGAGCGGGGACTCCTGCGGGCTGGGGTGGAGCCGGCTCAGGCCGGCCTGGACACCCGCCCGCCCGCCGCGGGCTGTGGGGGAGGAACGGCGGTTTGACCCGAGAAGACCCGGGAGCAGAGCGCTCGCCAGGAGGCTGGCCCACGGCCCCGCTCTAACCGGGTGCCAACCGAGCGCCGGGTCGGACCGCAGCGGAATGAATGAAGGGGAGAGCGGAGGGCGAGCACCCCCACACCAACGGGGAGCTCAGTGCGCAGGCGCATGCACCCCTTCCCGCCGCGGGAGCTCAAAGGAAGGATGCTCGCAGGGCGACCAAACCTAAGTCAGAGGGGAACTCACCCCGGATCCCTCACAGTGTAGAGCTGGGGAGCAGCCTGTCAGAAACTCACCGTTTAGGAGAGCCCGGACTTGGACGGTCGCGGCCGCCAGGAGCGCCCACCGAGGCAATGCACCAATGCGCCTGCGCGAGTTTTCCCGCGCTGCTTTGAATTGTCATGCGCGCTCCGAAGTGCTCGGCTGCAAAAGGCTCGCCGGGGGCCGCTGGCGGAAGAGGTGTGGTCTAAGGCCGGCCCGGCGGGTCTGCTGGGGTTGCTCCAGGAGCAACAGCTCCGTCGAACCCTGGAGAGATCGAGGTTGGAGAAGGAAGGCCGGGCAAGGGTCCGTCCTTGGCTCTGTCCCAGCCACACACACACTGTGGCCGTCCAGACACTGGCACTTCTCGGGTCAAAAGGCCCTTAACTGAGTCCATTTTACTTTTCTCCACTGAAAACAAAAAGTGTAATTGCTGGTTTGTTGTGGCAGTAGAGGTGGGCAGTGCCCGACCGTGTATGTGGTTCATTTAGCCATGACAAGCCAGTTTTCAGGGTTTGAGCTAATAACGGCGCTGAACACGGCAGTCAAAAGCCATCCCAATCTCGAATCTTTTTTAAAATAACCAGTGAAGTGCCTACGTGCGTGGGCGTGGGGCGAACATGCCTGGGATTCCCACCACCCGTTGCATCCTCAGTGATTCTTACTGACCTGGCCACGACCCACTGCCGAGAGCTCGGTCAGGGGCGGGCCCGGAAATCACCCACCCACTCTACGCTGGCGTTTTGGCTGATCTTGTGCAGGTAACCGCAGCTCCCCAGCGCCTTGCCTTACCCAAACGAGAGCATTCCACAGCGCTCCTCACCACCCCTGGCTCTGGCGTGCTCGGATGACGCCCACCTCCACTAGACCAGCCTAGCCCCTGCATTCTTACCCCTGCGTCTTTCAAGAAGTTCCCTGGCCCTTCGTCAGGGAGAGGGGTGTTGATACAGACGTCCCCTTTAGGGCTGATCCCTTGGTCTCTTATTCTCACGACTTTGACCAGTTCCGCATCTAAGGACAGCTGTTGGGCAAGATATTATCTAAGCATATATTATAGATATTGATGACTGAGTTCTGGCTGCTCGGTTTTCGTGTGGAGGAGAGAGAGAGAGAAAGAGAGGGAGGGAGGGAGGGAGGGAGGGAGGGAGGGAGGGAGGGAGGGAGGAGACAGAGACAGACAGAGGGGGGGGAGAGAGAGAGAGAGAGAGAGAGAGAGAGAGACTGCGAAAGGGTGGCCCTAAGAGATTAAAAGAATCAGAAATCAAGGAAGAAAGTTTTACAGTTACAGAGGAGTGACCAGTGGGTAGCAATTGCTACATGGAAACTGAAGACACAGATTTAGACCCCTTGGCACCTGGCAGTGCTGGCACATGCCTTAATCCCAGCACTTGGGAGGTAGAGGCAGGCCAGCCTGGTTTACAGAGTGAATTCCAGGACAGGTTCCAAAGTTACAAAGAGAAACCCTGTCTCAAAACAAAAGAAAAAGATAGAACCTGTGGCCAAAAGTGAGGCAAAAAGATGGTATAGTAAAGTCTGATTTAAGAAGAAAGGATCTTCCCTCAACCTTTCTATAATCCTAGGAAAGTTCAGAGGGGCTGTTGGAAATTAATTTTTAATATAGCTGCAGGATGGTGACTCAAAGGTGAATTAAATTTGGTTCAAGTGAATGCAAAAATGAGTCCTCTCAGGAGAAACAAAACTGCCTGACCAGTTCACACGACAGTAAATAGGCGCGAATTTAATTCCAGCCAGTCTTTTTGCTGTTGGTTTGTACATCGTCAGTGTTCTGCAGTGTGAATACAAGACAGGGCTTTGTGCTTCGAGACGAGTTCTCTCCCAGTGCTGCAGCCCTGGTCCTTATGTCCCAAAGCCTGTGCATCGTGCAGTGAAGGAGGGAGAGAGCAGGAAGGAAAACTAGCTACCCCTCACTCTGAGCTGTGCCCTGCAGAAGTTTGTACTCAATCGCCTCTACTGGGTGAGGACAAAATCTGCCTACTCCAGCGAGGCCACTCCTACTCCAGGGAGGCCACGCCTGCTCCAGCGAGGCCCCACCTCCACACAGTGTCACTCCCTGGTGACTAAGCTTTCAAATATCTGAGTCCCCGGGGCCATTCCTAGTCCGACCACTGCAGTACGCGTGTACGTTGCTTTCAGCTTAGAGACACTTTCTTTAGTAGTTCCAAATCTAAGTTTATTCAACACCAGACACCCCCACCATGTTGCCCGAGTTAGATTTCATCAAGATCAAAGTTGTGTACCTCCGATGCACCGGAGGCCAGCTGGCACCACATCCTCCTTGGCCTCCAAAATCCGTCCCCAGAATCCCCAAAATAGGTTGGTGATGACATTGCCAAAGCAACCTGTGATTGGAAAGGTCTGAGGATGACAGAGGAAAGCACAGTTCAGGACAGACAGGTCCCGATGAGGTGGTCCCTTCTACCTCTGCCCTAACCATCAAAGCCCTCATGGAGCCACAAGACACAGAAAGAAACAGGAAAACATTAAACACCTAACAGATGCAGTACTGGTCTTTAGCCACAGAAGTTTCTAGAACGGTTACGGAGACCCTGGGTACCCCTGCACGGTTTATAGGCAGCAATGTGGTGGCCGCCCCCCTCGTGAGATCGCCTATGACAGCAGTGGAATGCCAATCTACATAAGAAGAGAAAATAGCTCGATTAAAAATCATCGAACAGCCAAAATGACTTTTTATTTTATAGATATGGGGTTGGTTTTGTTTGCCTGGGTGCATGTCTACTGTTCAGGGAGGTCAGAAGGGGCATTGGATCCCCTACAACTGGAGTTCTAAGTAGCTGTGAACGTATGTGTGGGCACTGGGAACACAGCAAGTGTTCTTAATCACTGAGTTTTTCCACAGCTCTAGGGTAAATTTTTACACGTGGTGTTAGATAAGGGTCTAATCTTGTGCTTTTTTTTAAAAAAATGCTATTCTTTTGTTGTATATACTCAGTTTTACTAGTACACTCACCAATATTTTTGTTTTTTTAACATAGGTAGGTATCAAAGAAAATGCTTATCTTAAATTCCATTTAAATATCCAAGTGACTTCATTCTCTATAGTTAGAAGAGGATACTCATTTTTGTCTTATTATTTTATAGCATAGTTGAAAGAGATTCAAATCTCAGGATTAAGTTTGAAACAACTTCTTAGAGAGAAGTCTGCTTATTATAAAAATTATCTGTCTACCTTGTTTGTTTATCCGTCCTTTTATGTGACATCTGTGGGTAAATGCGACCCAGTTTCAAAAATTAAAAACATGAAGGCTGGGGAGTTCTGAGAGAAACTTCTTGAAATGTAGCAGTGCAGAGAAAAGGAAAGAAGGAAGCAATAATGTGACTGCATTGAAGGAGCCCGCAGCTCACAAACTAAAAATAAAAGGCCCCAACATGTCTCAGGCCCTGGAAAAATTACCTTTTTGTTACTAAAGTTTAGAAATATGATCAAATTGACATTTAAGTGCTCAAATGTAAACATGGGAAGATGAGGGCTGGGCTCCAGGGTACTCCTAGGGCCAAGAACTCAAGCATCAGTGGAAAAGTTTTGCTGGCTCCTGGAATATCACAGTTGCAGTTTTCATGCTACAGTCTGTGTGTGCACAGCGTGCAGGCGTGTACATGCGTGTAAGGACACACATAGTAAAGAAACGTTACTAAGGAGTGTATTATTACCATGTGTTAAATCAGTTAATGTGGAGGAAGGTCACAAGTTTTTATCTTACTTTAGTATTAATAATACAAAATTATGATTAGTGTTTTCTGATAGTTCATTTCCTCCCTCCCTCCCTTTCTTCTTCTTCTCTCTCTCTTTTCCTCTCTTTTGTGGTCTTTTTTTTTTTTGAAACAGTGTGGTGATTTGCATGAGAATATCCCCCCTATGCCCAGAATACTTTGATTTTGAATATCCCATCCCAGTTGGCAGCACTGTAGGTAGGTTTAGGAGGTGCACTTTGGGGATTCAAAGCCACCTGCCAGTCCCAGTTTGTTCTCTGCTTACCACCTGGGATCAAGAAGCGAGCTCTAGGCTGCTGCCATGCCTGGTCTGTGAGGGTAATGGAGTCTCAGCACACTGGAACTGTAAATCTAGCCCCTCCTTTCTATAAGTCACCTTGGCCATAATGTTTTATCACATCGATGGAGAAGTAGCTAAGACTTGGGGCCTCATGTAACTCAGGCTTCCTGAAACTCGCCAAGTAGCTGAGGATAACCTTGAACTCCCGAACCTCCTGTGTTCTCGGTCCCAAGTGTTGGGATCACAGACAGTACCAGCGTGCGTGGATTCAGTGCCCCATCTGAAGCCAAGGCAAAGACACACTGAACCTTTCCTTGCTGCTGCTTGTGTAGCTGGGAAGAAACTGCTAATGCCAATACCAGTGATTGGAAACCTTAACAATTCAAATCCTACACTGTTACTTTTCTTTTGTGGATGTTTATGCACGTGAGTGTTTCCCCTGAAAGTGTCTTTGTCACACATGCAGCTGTTCACTTCCCATGGAGGCCAGAAGAGGGAGTCAAACCCCTGGAACTCAGATGGCTGTGAGTTCTGGGACTCAAACCTGAGTTCCCTGTGAGAACACTGAGCCATCTCTCCAGCTCTGTTGCTGATCCCTTCTGATACATTCTCACTCCCCCTCCCCCGTTATGTGGAAACTGGGATGTCACATGATCTGAAAACTGGAGCTTAAGTATGTGTGATGCCCGTTTACAACCCTGGAAGCTGCTCTGGCTTCTCCCAAGCTACGATTAGCCTTCCGCCCTAGAAATACTTCCTTGTGACTGACTGTTCCTCCAAGACAGGGCCTTT